TCGTCATTACACCCTGTAGCGGACCTACCAAGCTTGCGGGCAAGGCCCCTAGAAGCTAGCCACGACGCGTCACAGTTGGAAGCGATGTATATGCTCGAGACAGTCACCACATCCGAAAAGCGTCCACCATCTCACGACTGCTCCTCCAGCGTAAAGGTCCCCGTCTTCGTAATGAGGTACTCATTCACTGCGACATCCTTCCCTGATTCCTTGCCATAGCCGGATTGTTTGATGCCACCAAATGGCGATTCTGCAGCAGAAGAGTTGCCCTGGCACATGTTAGTATACTTTCCGATGTCTTCGTTGTCAACATACTGTGTTCAGCCCGATCATGCCGGCCTCCAGGTTCTCAAACAGTCTCCAGGTACGATCAACGTTCTTTGTGAAGCAGTAGGATGCGAGACCCATACTGGTGTCGTTTGCAGCCTTGACAGCTTCATCTTCAGTCTCGAACTTGATGAATGTACTGATCGGGGCGAAGGCTTCTTCATTGGCAATGTCCATGTCTGGTGTAACGCCGGTAATGACAGTAGGTTCGAAAAAGTAGCCACCGTCCTTCTCCACCTTGTTACCGCCCGTATGAATCTTCGCGCCTTTTTTCTTCGCATCTTCGACAAGAGCGAGTGCTTTCTCGACACCCCGTGGAGTAGTCACTGGGCCCATCGTCGTCTTCTCGTCTGAACCGTGACCGACGACGATCTTTTGTGTCTCTGCGTTCCAGCGTTCGAGGAACTTGTCGAAGATCCCAGACTGAACGTATATCCGGTTCGCCGTAATACATGCTTGACCCGCATGTCGATACTTTAGTGCGAAGATCTGCGTCAAAGCTTGCTCGATATTCGCGTCGTCGAAGATCAGGACAGGACAATTGCCGCCCAATTCGAGTGTAACTTTCTTCAGATTGTCTGCACACATCCTAGCGACTAGCTTGCCAACGCGCGTCGAGCCTGTAAACGTGACCTTGCTCACAAGCGGATGCCGGCAAAGCGCCTCACTAAGCTCTGGTGTCTTATCGAGATCTGTGGTCAGGACGTTCAACGCCCCCTTTGGGAATCCAGCCTTTTGAGCGAGGCAAGCCAGTGTGAGTACAGTGATTGGTGTCTCCGGGCTGGGTTTCACAATCATCGTGCAGCCTGCAGCCAATGCAGCGCCAGCTTTGCGAAGAATCATGGCGATGGGGAAGTTCCATGGCACCAACGCGACAGCGACACCAAGCGGCTGCTTGATCGTGAAGATGCGTCTGTTTGGTAGCGCGGGTGTGAAGACACTGCCTTGAATGCGCTCGGCCTCTCCGGCGAACCACCATGTGAAGCCTGTCGAGTAATCGATTTCTCCATACGCCTCGGCTCTAGGCTTTCCGGTCTCGTACACAAGAACAGTCGCTATGTCTTCCCTGTTCTCCTTGATGAGGGCATCCCATCGGTAAAGCATCTGTGCTCGTTGTCGCGGGCTGATCTTCTTGTACTCCTGGAAACACGCATGCGAGCTGTTGACAGCATCGTCGACATCAGATGCATCGTTCGTCGGACACTCTATCCACGGCTTTCCTGTCCCCGGGTCTGTTCCCCTGTCAGATCTCGGTGTTCAGATAGGACATGCTGTGATGACTGACCGACCACTTCGAACGTCTTTCCCGACTTCGCTCGTACCCAATCGCCATTCACAAAAGATAGGCTATGGAGCAAGTCTGGATTGTTCAGCTGGGATGTATCAGTACGAATCAATCGCAAGAACGAGTTCGTATTGACGCACCTTGAACGGTAGCTCGTGCTTCCTGCCTGACGCCATCTTGATTTCGATTTGGATATCGTTCACGTGTGTTGATCTCTCGAATGTTTGAACTTATTTTTCGCGTATGGACAACCGAAGCTGGTGAGTGTAGAATGAAGTTGCTTGGAGGAGACGATCTTGGAAGGCGCATGGATTCCGCGGCCACCATTATCAGCATCTGCACACAACAGAGCTTCCCCACTTTCCAGCGTATAGCCTACATGAGCAATGCGCGTATCTGCAGCGACACCCGGATATTTCAGGAAAGGCGATCCGGAGAGACGCCGCAGACGTTCAAAGCAGCGAAACGTCGGCGGAGACGGTCTCCAATTGGCTCAAACCTCGGTGGTCCTCCAACACGACGTCAACTCCATGCGGGGCACCACGCTTACCCCTCACTGCTGCCCAGGTGTGCTCGACTCCGAAGAACGACTAGTCGACTGACGATGATTGGAGATGCGATACCGGTGGCAGACATCAGGGTCCATGAGATGGCAGGCAGGAACGCTTTGCTCTGTTGTAATCAAAACATCAACATCGCCGCTGGCTATTGAGACTCAACATCGACCCTAGTAATTCGAATCTATATACGAAAAGACACGATTGATTTACCTACGTTCACACCGTGAAGCGCAACATATCAACCCTCTCATCATGGGCAGACTAGATGGCAAAGTCGCCATTGTGACCGGTAAAGCGCATCCTCATCAATCCTCTCACATCTCACTAACAACCTCATCAGGCGGCGGCTCAGGCTTCGGCGCTGGAATCTCAAAAGGCATGGCCTCTGAAGGCGCCAAAGTCCTCGTCTGCGACATCAACCAGTCAGGCGGCGAAGCGACGGCAGCCACAAACCCTTCCTCTCTCACCTTCCACAAGATGGACGTGACCAAAACCTCCGACTGGAAAGCTACTGTCTCGGCTTGCATCGACAAGTTTGGGCGCTGCGATATACTCGTCAATAACGCTGGTTGGTCATATACCAGTAAACCTACGACGACGGTCACGGAGGACGAGTTCGAGAAGGTCTTCGATGTCAATGTCAAAGGTGTTTATCTGGGCTGCAATGCGTGGGTCGATCAAGCTATCGAGCGCAAAGAAGGAGGCGTGATCATCAACATTGCGAGTGTTGGGGCGACCAGACCAAGACCAGGTCTCGTATGGTATAACGCGAGTAAAGGCGCGATTTGGAATGTAAGTCTTCCCATAACCCTGGCTCAATCTTACATCAAATTTCCCATGACTTACACACCCTCCAGGCGACAAAAGGCCTCGCGGCAGAGTACGGGCCCCATCAGATCCGAGTCGTGTCCATTTGCCCCCTTGTTACAGGAACAGGTCTCTTCTCTGCCTTCACCGGAATGGAAGATACACCGGAGAACAGGACAAAGTTCACGTCCAATGTGCCTATGGGCAGAATCGGTGAAGTGGATGACGTGGTGAATGCGTGTATCTTCATGGCAAGCAAAGAGGCTGGCTTCATTACAGGAGTTAATCTGGAAGTGGATGGTGGACGCTGTATCTAGACTAGCTTTGTTGGAGAGATGAGAACTCAAAATGAGCTTCTAGATGGATCATCCCTAGGAACAGCTCCAAAACGCTGTCGTATCTCATGAATCTGAGCCTAACCGTCCATATACACATCCTCATCCCCACCGTCCTCTTCATCTTCATCATCATCATCGTCGTCGTCATCGCTATCCCCCTCATCATCATCTTCTTCCTCCATTTCATCTCCGTAATCCTGCTCAACTCCGTCTTCGTCTTCGTCGTTCTCGTCCTCCTCATAGTCCCACGCCTCATCCGTCTCAAGCAACTCCTCAATCTCCCTCCTCCTCCTAGCCTCATCACTATTCTCGTCAACTCCATCAACCAGCGCGTTCTGCACAAAAGCACCCTTTCTGTCCTCCTTACTCAAAGCGATCTCTCTGTCAACCTCCACAGCCCAACCTTCCCAGACGGCACCCCTCTGAGTCGCCGTCATCCTTCCCCTACCAGCCCTCCACCTCTTTGTCAATTCTCGCTCTCTCGCTACTGGAGATTCCATGATCATCATCTCATAAGCTTGCTTGACCTTCTCATAGGCAGCGCGATGCGGTACTGAAGGTCTTCCATTCGGTGCTGCATAGCTCTCCAGTACCTGGTAGTGACCCTTTCGCACTCTATCTTGCGCGTTGGCCCACACGCCCAAGGGTAGAAAAACTGCGCGGTTGAGGGTGATCTTCCCGCTCTTAGGGTGGGTGTATCCAAGGAGGAAGGCGTCGGTCTCGGCTACTCCGTTGTCGCCTAGCTTCAGTCCGCCGGGACCGATGGTGTTTGCGGGTACGACAATCTTAGGCAGATAGATTTGGACGGGAATGCCGCGGTGGGATGTAGTAAAGGGAGAGGTCGCTAGCAGACTTGGTGCAAATGATGAGAGAGGGGATGGTGGTCGAAGGTGAAGTGGAGATGGAGCAGTGCGCTGCATAGCCGTCTGAGGAGGAGCCAGCAGAGAATTGGGAGGAGGAAGCTGTTGGCGCTGTTGAACAGATCCTCCCTGACCAACTGGTCTGCTAAGACTTGGCAGGTCTGGTGCCCGTGGTAGGGGTAGTACAGCATTCGGAGGTCGCTGACCATAACTAGTGGTATGATCCTGTGTCTCTTGAGCAGCTACTAGGCGCTGTGCGAAAGCCGGAGGTGGTACATGATCAGAGCGTCCTAGTGGCGTTGGCCAAGATGAAGCATGAGCTTGCTGAGACAGATTTGGTTGGTGAGCATCAGACTGGAACCAGGCAGGGGGAAGACCCGCCGGCGGAAGGGTCAAAGGATGAGCCCCATATCCAGATGGAGAATGATGGTGATGTTCAAATCCAGGTGGTAGTGGCGGTCGAGTAAAAGGACCGAAGCCTCCTTGGGAGCCCCTAGGCAGTTGGTGTTGAGGAGGTACCTGCGGTCCAGATACAGTAATATTTGGAGCTTGAGACACCGCTGGAACATGTGCTTGAGGATAGGGATGGGGGCTTTGCACACGAGCTTGTCCAGCTTGGGCATTCTGCTGGGACATCACTCGACTCACAGCCAGACTCACCTGCTGCTTAAGCATTCCTATCATTTGGTCTGCGGGATTTGGAGTGATATTTCGCATGAGCGCCGCAACACTTGGTAGTGTCTGTTCTGCAGCAGATGCAACTTCTGTAGTAGGTAGAGCGGGATGGCTTGATCGGTGTCGCAAATGGGGGAACAATGTCGTGTCAGGAATGAACGTATTTGGAGATTGAGTGGAGGTCATCGCAGGCGGTGGGCGCGGTAGCGGAGGTAGGTTCGGACGAGGAAGCGATGCGGGCGGTGGTAGAGATGGACAGGGAAGCGTCTTGAGCGATGGTAGGTTCGGACGAGGAAGCGATGCAGGCGTTGACAATAAGGGCGTAGGCAGCAGACGCATTCTGGTCCTTGGGACACTCATGCCATCATCTGAATCTTCATCGGTACTCCTATCGCCGTCATTTTTGTTGTTCAGCCCACCGCCGTCAAAGTTTCCTGAAGAACGTGGAATCGATGGGAAACTGCTACGCGCGAACATCGCTTGCAAACCCGCTTTGTCTCTTGCACCTCGGAACAGCGTACTCTTCATCTTGCCCACAAGCGGTGTAGGAACGATGTTGATCCTTTGGAGTTCCTCATCTTTGGTCTGCTGGATCTTGCGCAATATACCGTCAGTCACATCCGGGCGATGGGCGTGAGTGGTCGTGGTAGGGATGAGAGGGACACCCGATGGACTTCGGGGAGCAGCACTGCGCGCAGCAAACTGAGCCTCGTCCGCCAATTTGTTGCTGATGGAGATTTCCAATTGTTTTGCCCTATGTCGCTCCTTGAGCGATTTGAAAGCCTGCGCAAGCTTTGCGTCCTTCTCGTAGTTCTTGAGGCCGCCTGCGTCCACGAGCGGTGGCGTCTCTTGCAAGCTCATTGTCTGATCTCTGTGGTAGTCTCGCATGTTCTGTGCGGTGACTCCTGCTTCTACGAGTAAGAAGAACGCGCGTTGTCGCGATTTGAAACAAGCTTCGTAATACTTGGCTCGCTTGTACTGGTCTCGGGGGACATTGATGAGAGGCGGCAGAGGCTCGTCTAGCTTTGGGGGCTGGATGCCGAAGTGTACTTCGCGGTACTTCAGACGTTCGCTTTCTTCTGTCTTGCGTTCGAGTGCCGCTAGGTCGGGCTTTTGTCGCATCTGGATGGTTGTGTCCCCGCCTTGTCCGTCCTTCCCGCTGTCTTGGGCGACACCTCTTGCTTGATTAATTTCCTTTTTGGCTTCCTGAGTGACAAGAAATGGATGATATTCAAAGTCCCACAAGCTTGGAATCTCGCCATGTAGAGCCGCCTTCAGAGCCTTTCCGTCTCCTTCGTAAAAGTCGATCCACCTGTAAAGGAACTCGATGAAGTTGGGTACCACTGTGCTGTCGACCTGCACGATATCGACTAGAATGCGCAACATGTCGTCCTCGTGCAAGAGATCGGGATCTATACAGCGAGCATGCAGAGTCATCGGAGGCGCGTTGCTGGCCGGTTTCGGCGGGTCCAAGTCAAGGCGAGGCCTCTTTGCTGATTGCGATGCCGCGAGGGATTGGCGAGCCGCTGTCTGACTGACTTCCCACTGCACACACCACGTCCACAGCTCCTTGCCCGTCTCCAACGCCTTGCGCTCCGTGAAGTCCTGGAGAAGCGCGAAGAAAACGTCATGGTTCGTGTCCATCCGGTAGGTGATGGCGTGAGCCTTGTACTGCTCATAAGGTACGAGAGTGGGTGGCGGCTCCACGTTGCCAATAACATCTTGTAACTCGAGATAGCGCTCGTCGAAGAGGTCCATGACCTTGCCATGGGACGCCATGGTTGCGCAGGCGGCTGCGTTGTCGTTCAAGACGAAACCGAAGTGTTGTGATGTTGGTGGTTGGGAGGTGAGAGGGGAGCTAGGCAAACGCGCGGTGTTGCCATGCGGACGCAAACGAACAATATCAGAGGGAAACGTAGGGAGTAGCTTGAAAGTCGAGGACCAGGATCACGGAATGACGCAACGAAAGAGATGGTGCACAAGCAGCCTACCATGCTACTCGGAAAATCTATGCTGGTCGTATTGCAAGCCCGAATATTTGTACAGTCGCCAGAGGGGTATCGTCGCATTCGTGCCATAGCGCCGCCTTCACTTGTTCCTAGTATACACGCGCGACCACACACTCATTTGCTGCTCTCCCTGATCTTCTGCATAATGGCGCTCGCCCTGTCCTCGGCCTCTTCCCGTACTCTCCGCCAATCTGTTGTGTAGACCTTCTTCACACCCTCCTCGAGACTTCTGTTCCAGCGGTCCTTGGCCATCTCGGCTAGCCCGACGGGTGCTTCCCGGCTTGTGGGCTCAGGTTCTGGCTTCTTGGGCTCGTAGAATTCGGTGAGGACTTGGCGTTGCTGTCGCAGGAGCGCGGCTTGTGTTATGCGGTTTTGTGTGTGTAGGGAGATGCTGAGGTAGAGAACGCCTGTGGTGAGTGTGACGCCTCCGAGCTGCATAGGTCAGCCGATGTCATTGCAAGCGATTGGCAGCACTTACGAAGCCCGTGATGAAGCCCATGGCTACGCTGGAGATGTGTCGAGGAGTGCGCGAGGATGACGTGCACGTGTGCTTTTGCTGGATGCGTCGGAGGCCAATGGCTGGGCAGACTGATGTGCTGCGTCCGCTTGCTATCCCTCTATTGACGTGAGGGGCTGTCCAGGGCGAAAGCACGAGAATGTCCAGGTGGTGGAAAGTTGACTCGGGTGTGAGGTCAGCGGAATCGCGCGATGGCCTGCCAGGATTATTCCGTCCCAAAGCGGCAACATGTCAACGATCCGTTGAACGCTGCTAGCGCCGCTTCCTCCTCCATCGGCGCATCCCCTCACACTCGAGCCTCTCCCTGCAACCATGCTTTTTCTCTCACAAGCCGTTGATTTCATCGGCATCATGTCCGCATCATGTTCCGTCGTCGCGCAGTCTCAACGGATACCATCAGTTTTTCGTCCGGTGTGCTTACGCATATGTCCTCGCGACTCCTCACGGCTAGACTATGCACCTTCAAGCGTGTGCATGGCCAGGTAGCAACTGCACTCCCCAGGGTTCATATGCACATGTCGTTCGCGGGGTTCCCAGTGGTACGTAGGGACTGCTGTACCTACACACCATCACAGAGTGGTTGCACACAAGCTTGGCACATCTACTTAAGAGCGTCCAATGCCTACACCGAAGATGCCCACTGGACATACTCAATTTAATCAATAAAATTGCGACAACTGAAAATGGCGTTGAACGAAATTTTGCGAATGCCTTCTGCAACCAACATCCTTCTTCTGTTTGCAGCATACTGGGTTGTGTGGATCGTCTATTGTCGTACACTACACCCACTCGCACGTGTACCGGGCCCGTTATGGCCTGCCATCTCGCGAACGTGGCTCAGGTGCACACGCTCCAACATATCTTGCGGTACGAGAAATGCTAATTGCTGAGTAGTAAGAACCCCCTCAAATCTGCATTCTTATTGACACAACGGACTTGCGACCACTGCTTTAAGTCCCAAGCTCGGGAGATAGCTTGTTCAAAAGCCAACCTTGCTAACACAGAAATTACCAACAGTGTACCGCATGTTTTCCGGTGATCTTGAGGTCGTCCAACGCGAGCTACATGAGCAGTATGGCCCTCTTATACGCATCGCTCCAAACGAAGTCAGCTCCAGCGATCCAGACACGCTACCAGTCATCTACACTGCTCAGAAACCTTTGACCAAGACGGACTGGTAAGTCACGCTTAAAGGTACCATACGCACGCTGTGTATGACTGCTAAATCGGCAGGTATGTTTCTTTCCGCCCACGAGGTATCAGCGAGCACGCAGACCTCTTCACCGAGACAGACGAAGAGAAGCACACCAGGTATCGTCGGATTGTTCAGCCTGCCTATCAAATGGTCAGCATTCTGAAGCATCAAGGTGCGATCGATGATTGCACAAACTTGTTGAAAATGCGGCTGGACAAATTTGCCAGAACAAACGAAGAGGTAGACCTGGGGCTTTGGCTCGAACTATTCGCTCATGATGTAATTGGGCACGTCCTTTTCGGTCAATCCTTTGGTTTCTTGGAGAAAGGTACACATGTGAATTCCTTCATTGAATCTGTACACAACGCTGCCCCGCTTCTTGCTTTCATTACTGCAGCACCGACCTACATGCGCAGCATCATCATGCTGGCAGCCATGTGTGTTCCTAGCAATTTGAAGCAGTTCAAAGGCGTACAAGCTACCGTGGTGGAAGCTAAACGCCAGACACAACTTCGACTACAACGCTCGGCAGAAGCGGACGATCAGAGTCAAGACATCCTTTCTCAGCTCCTACGCAAAGTGGGGAAGAAAGATAGTGAAGCTTGGTTCACACACAAAGAAGTCACATTGGAGTCTTGGGCTGGCATCATGGCCGGCGCTGATTCTGTCGCTGTCAACTTAAGGGCGGTTTTATACTACCTTATGAGGACACCCGACGCCATGTCTAAAGCGACCCAGGAGCTACAGACCCGGCAACACCTCCTCAGCACACCTGTCAGCTTCGAAGAATCAACCAAGCACCTACCGTATATCAGCGCGTGCATTAAAGAAGCCTCTCGCCTTTTTCCAAGTACCGGATTCAACATGAGTCGTATAGCTCCTGCACAGGGTGTTACCCTGTCTGGCGTCTACATTCCAGCTGGATACCACGTCGGTATCAATCCGCAGATAGTACAATACGATAAGAAGCTCTTCGGCGAAGACGCTTTGGAGTTTCGACCAGAGCGCTGGCTAGAGAGCGAGGCCAGAAAATTTGAGATGGAAAGGGGGATGCTACTGTTCGGTGTGGGAAAGAGGACATGTATCGGGAAGAACGTAAGTTTTCTATGAGAGATGCATTGTACTAGGGTTGTTTCTATTGTTGGTATACTGATCACACATCTTCCTTAGGTTGCCTTGGCGGAAGTTCACAAACTCGTTCCAGAGCTCCTCCGCTGTTTCGACATGCATATGGCTCATGATCGTCCCTGGAAGACGTTCAATGCTGGGTTTGTGAGGCAGAGGGATGTCATAGTCAGGATTGCTGTACGTTAGAGATGGAATGTATCCTTTCCTCCAACTTTTGAAGTAGGGTGACTTCTCGGAGTACTTGTTTTCTTCGCTCTCACATTCATCACATACTCAGTCGTCGGTTATGCGACCTAGCTTACAGGCTCATTTGGTATGCGGCGCAAGAGTGGAAAGGCCAGAGTGTCCAATTGAACGTATATCTACATAGCTTTCTTTCCAGGAACATTCCAGGTTATCGAGCGTTGTCTGCGCTTTATTGTTCCACGTGGTACTCTATGATCCGCCGATAATATCTGCTGTATGGGTCGGCTTTCCTTCAGCCCCCGTCTTGTCCGCACCACTATCGCGGTACTCATCCAGCGACGGCGTGTCGGCATAGCACATCTTCATAAAGCTCTCAGGATAGCGTCCACCGCTAACCTCTGCCTCTTCGCACGCCTTGCGAATCTTCTGTTCCTCCTCCTTGCTTAGCTCAACCTTCACACTCCCGACGTTCTCCTCCAGGCGCTCAGGCTTGGTAGTACCCGGGATTGGGAAGATGTCGTCACCCTGTGCCATCAACCACGCCAATGTCAACTGACCAGGCGTAACACCCTTCGCCTTTGCAATCTCGGTGATGCGGTCTACGAGCTTCAGGTTCTTGGGGAAGTTCTCGGCACTGAATCGGGGCGCATAGCTACGGAAGTCGCCTTCCTCAAAGTCATCTGGGCTCTTGATGGCGCCAGTCAGCATACCGCGGCTGAGCGGTGAGTAGGCAACCACTGCTACGCCAAGCTCGCGGCATGTCTTGAGTAGATCGATTTGCTTGCTCTCGATCTCCAGCGCGAAGGGAGAGTATTCGACCTGTACGGCGGAGATGGGGTGGACCTTGTGCGCTCTTCGTAAAGTCTCGGAGCTGACTTCTGACAAACCGAGATACTTTACTTTCTTGAGATTGACAAGGTCGGCCATGGCCTGCACGGTGAGCTCAATTGGCGTCTTCTGGTCGACGCGGTGCATGTAGTAGAGGTCTACCTGCTCGATTCCGAGACGCTGAAGAGACTTCTCGATGGCCACTTTGACCTAAAAGTGGGTTCACGAAGTCAGCGTATGATCTAGTCGCAGTTTCTACATTGGTTGACTGACGTGTTCTGGAGAAGTGTCGATTGTACCCATCGAGTCCTTGAAAGCAAACTTGGTAGCAAGAAAGATGTCCTTGCGCTTTTCGGGGTTGGCCTTGAACCACTGCCCTATCAAGTCTTCGTTGTCGCCGTAACTAGAATAGCTGTTAGCCGTTGTCAGACCCAATGACCCGATGACCATACACATCAGAAGAGTCCCAGAAGCGTTCGCCTAGCTTATGGGCCAAGTCAAGCATTGCCAGACGTTCAGAGTCGGGCTTCGGCTTGCCATAGAATGCGGACAATCCCATGAGGCCGAAGCCCAGGCGGTTGACTTGGGGGCCATCGCGGCCGAGAGGTGCAGTGGGCAGAGACATTGTGGTGTTGAGTAATGAGATTCGGTTCAGATAGAAGACAGAGTGCTGTGCAATTCGACCGGAAGGGACTTGGTTTTAAGTGTGAAATAGGCACTGGAACGGACGAAGCAAAATAAGCTTAATTATCGGGTACCTGGTTGCAATGACGCTGGTATCCCACCCGCATTGACCTCACTTGCCACTAACTCCTTAACCCCGCTATGCATGAGATCATACCTATGTGACTGCCACGAGTGCTGTAGCTTCACATCCCGTTGGAACGCAGCACCTCAATGGAGATTCAAATCTAAGGGCCGACTCTGTAAGAAGTTTGTTTGTTCGTCCGAAGAGTTGAGCATCGTGAAATTCCCGCTCTAGAGTCGGCGGAGTAAGACGGAGATAAGCCACCAGAGCTCCGGTCAAGTTGTGAAATGAGTACCATGGCTGAAGCCTGAAGGAGGTACCAGTTGGTCCGGAGTGAAGCATCAGGTACCCAGGGTGTATTTGACGCGTTGCACGTTGTGTCGCTTGGCATCGAGGTCTCTCACGCGTCGCGGCAGGCGACAAGGTTCTTATCCCCAAGGTTCCTGCCAAGCTCCCCGATGACCAAGTTAGCGTCCGTCAAACCTCACTGCATCACACACCTCCCCCACCAATGCATACCCCGGTACCTTCTATGTAATGCGGTCGCCATGCTTACGCGACGCCGACGTTCAACCTCAGACAATCTGCTCGCGCACTTACACCTACGGAAAATCTAGTAAAGGCAGCACAGCATGACCGCCGAAGTTCGCGACCTCAAGCCGCTCAACATCAGACCCGTCCAGCATCAAGTCCACGACCCGCTCAAGACAGACCCGTTCGCCTTCGACCACCACGATGACACCATCCACGTCCTCCTATGCGCTTCAGGTTCTGTTGCGACCATCAAGATACCGAACATGATCAACGCGCTTGCGAAACATGCGAACGTACGAATACGGCTCATCTTCACGGCTGCGGCAACCAACTTCTTGCAAGGCCAGAGCGGGGAGCAGCCTTCGATAGAGGAAATAGAGGCGTTACCGAACGTGGACGGAATATACTTTGACGAGGACGAGTGGAGAGAGCCATGGATCCGAGGCAACAAGATCCTCCACATTGAGCTACGGCGATGGGCAGACATCATGGTCATTGCACCCTTGAGTGCTGATCTACTCGCCAAGATCACACAGGGCTGGTCAGATAACCTCCTGCTGTCCGTCGCGCGCGCATGGGATACCACAGGTCTGATCGACCCAGTGAGGAGCATACCAGGCGTGCAATGGCCGCAAGAAGATGGCGGCATACAGAAGAAGAGGATACTAGTCGCTCCGAGCATGAATACCGCCATGTGGTTCCAGCCCATCACCAAGAAACAGTTGCATGTGCTGGAAGAAGAGTGGGGAGTAAAGAATGGAGGCTGGTATGAGGTACTGCAACCTATGGAGAAAGAGCTGGCGTGTGGAGATATCGGTGGTGGCGCAATGAAAGATTGGAGGGAGATTGTGGAAGTGGTTGAGCAGCGGCTAGGCCTGCTGTCGTGATAGCTTCTCACATGCACTCTTGTACGGTTAGAGTCCCTACTGCTTAGAAAAATACTAATATCTATGTTAGGGATTCAAGCCACATCGTGCTACGCCATCGCATATATACCCGAGCACAGAACGGCGCAGCAAGAGAGAGGGCATACTGCTTCACGTAAGCAAAAAGATGGCATACACAAAAGAGCAAAAAGACAGAACTTAGATAGGTGCCCCTCTCACGCACCGTATGCTGACAGCCTCCTTAATTTCTTAAACCAGACCACGGTCTGTGCTGTCTCGCTTCTGTCTTTGTCGATGCTCGAATCGGCGACCTTGACCTAGCGAGCTGAGCAGGCGATATGCCCAACGGCGCCAGGCCGGACTCGAGTCTTGATGAATAACTCTTCAGAGTCAACGTCTTTATACCAGAGGCTACCAGTTATACTATATCAGAGGTGAGGAAATCCATGTTGCAATGTTGACAGTGACGGTGATGGGCGTTGAGCGTTTGTTGTGGTGGTCGGTGTTGCGAAAACTGAGACCTTCGTTCACCTGGTGACGAGAACCAAACGAGACTGAAACTAGAGCAATGAGAGCGCGATGTCGTCATTTACGCGCCTTCACTTTATGGAGTGTAGCAAAGTTCTCGATCACAATAACATGAACTGTCAGCCTGACGATTACCGCCAGCAGAACAACATGGCGCCCAGCAAGTCCACAGCAAACGCAGATGTCCCAGCCTCCCCGAGCGTTACCTATTCTAGTTCTGTTCTTGCAACCTTGAAGTCGTCGGTAAGTAATCGCTTCTCTCACCTTGGTGTTTGCTTTTGACATGTGGGCAGATACAGAACACGAAAGCGAAGCTCAACGCTCTCCGACCTACCAGGCAACCGAAGGTTACCAAACCAGGAACGAGGAGCAAGACGGTCGACGAGCGAGAGCGTCTCCAACGAACAGCAAAACGGCTTTCCGTCATCGATGAGCCCGCTACTGGCCCCAATGTCTCCTCCACCAGCGACGAACTGCGGAGCGACCCCGCAGCGTCTTCATTCCTGTCCACCGGCTCCGATCCCCATCCTTCGCTCACAGCGCGCGACTTCGAAGTCGGCGGTACGCTTGGTCGTGGGAAATTTGGGCGCGTGTACCTCGCCCGTCATCTCGCGACAGATTACGTGTGCGCTCTCAAGATCATATCAAAAGCGCAGGCTACAACACAAGAAGAGGAGAAGTTGATACGCCGCGAGCTAGAGATCCACCAAAACCTCGCGCATAAGAACATCTTGAAGTTACTGTCATGGTTTCACGACGATGAATCGATATACCTTGTGCTCGAATTTGCTCCAGGTGGCAGTCTCTACTCGAAGATGAACAAGCAGCCCAAGGGCAGGTTCACAGAGCACCAAGCGGCCGTCTATATCGCTCAACTCACATCCGCACTGCGCTACATGCATAGCAAAAACATCATGCACCGCGATATCAAGCCCGAAAACATACTACTTGGTTTCCACGGCGAGATCAAGCTTGCTGACTTTGGATACTCCGTACACTCAGAGTCAGGGTTCCGATCAACGGTGTGCGGCACACTAGATTACCTAAGCCCAGAGGTTGCGGTCATGACGCTCAAGCCCGGAATGAGCGGAGGGTGGTACACGAAGGCGATCGACCAGTGGAGTCTGGGCGTCTTGATGTACGAGCTTCTTGTGGGTAAGCCGCCATTCGAGATGAAAGACATGAAGAGCACACAAAAGAAGATTGCGAACTTCAAGGGTAAAGGTATCAAGTTCCCAGGACATGTCAGCGAGCGCGCGGAGGAGCTGATTCGCGAGGTAAGTGACACCCTCTCGCCTTATGTGTGCTCACAACAAAGCCGTACTGACTTCGCAAAAGTTGCTCAATTTGGATGCTGAGAAGCGGATGAGTCTTGACGACGTTATGACACAACCTTGGATCGTCGACCACGTCGCGAAGTCGGTTCAGTCAGGCATCCGATCATTTGATCAGCTGCTTCAGCATGGTGCCTGAGG